GCAACAAAATTAGTAAGAGGCCAAGGCTCACTACCATATGAGATCCACCTAAATAACCTTAATCTCTATCCTCTGACTTAAAGGCAGTTATGCGGAGCTTTGAGACAAACCTTCCGTATCGTGCGTGGCTTGGACTGCGCTCTCATGTGTGATTACTTTTTCCAACTTCAAACTGTATGTGCCTCAAAGACGATTGGATGTGAGGAAGTATTTTTTCTCTAATCGGGTCGTGGACCCGTGACATAACTTACCTGAAGGCGATTATTTGTCCCAATCTGTGGAAACATTCAAACACCGACTTGATATACACATGCTACAGCACTCTGTGGAGACATTCAAACACCGACTTGATATACACATGCTACAGCACAACGTGAACTATGTGACATATTAACCTTGAATTACCACAGCACCATATGACGAATAAAGAGTTCTAAGGCGCAAGCCTATTTTTTCCTCAAATACACTGACTGACCGACTGAAAGCGAATTCATCATTCCCTTCTATGACTTAGACGACGGCCAAAAGATCGATTATTCATCTTTCGCTGAAATGACTGCTTTTCAGGGCTTGTTGGCATTAAATGACTCGAAGTCACCTGGTCCCGATGAAATTTCGTCCGAATAGCTGAAAGAAGTTGCGAAGGAGCTAGCTAAACCACTGTCAATGCTTTTCATTACGTCATTTGAAGCTAGTTGTTAACCCACCGACTACAAATCTGCACGGATCACACCACTGTAATAAGGCGGCAGAGAAGTTTGCGCGTTTGGAACGTTGGACCCGGGCAGTTGATGGAAAAATACGCTTCATGTAGTCTATTTTGACTTCAGGAAGGCATTCGATAGCGTAAGTCAACGACAGCGTCCGTGAACTGGATTGTGATGTCGCTATGTTTGCTGATAATATTAAGAAATGCAGCTGACGAAGGGCGTTTGTAGGTAAACCTAAACCGTCTTCAAACTTGGTCTAAGGACTGGCTTTTGTCGTTTAATGAGAACAAGTGCAGTGTCCTAGGAGTTGGTTGATCCAGCTCCCAGAATCCCATGGTTTACAGCCTGAATGGCATCCGACTGCAAGAAGTGGACGCGCAGAAAGATTTGAAATGTGGGATAACGACGTCGCTTACGTCCACGCCGCGTTGTGGAAAAATAGCTAAGTCTGCGATATCCGTCCTCTACCTTGCCAAACGGGCTTTCTCTGCCTTTTATAGAGACTGTTTCGCTTAAGTCTTTGGAAAATTCGTGCGGCTGAAACTGCAGTTTGCTATCCAAGCATTGAGACCCTGGACCGCGAAAGACCTCAACTCCCGCGTTAAGGTCCAAAGGCGTGCAAAAACCTTGTGGCCGGACGGGGCTCATTACTCTATGAAACACGTTTAACTGATGTCGACCTATTTCCTTTAAGGTGCAGGCTGCTAAATTTCGTATAATGCGCGGTCAGGACTGCTGTCTTCTATGTCGCGACTTCTTCGGTTTAGCAACAACTACGAATTAAAGAGGTCGTCCGTTCAAATTACGTGTAACGGGGGCCAAACTATACACATGAAAGTTCTTCTTTCGTAATAGATTGGCTGAAGCTTGGAGGTTGTTACGTCCGCTCCCGTTGAAATCTTTAATAAGAAGTTTGATTGTTATAGTAATGCTCACTCTAACACCTGCGAAAACGCGAAAGAAACCTTGTATTCTAATAGTATTACTTACTTCGTTTGAGTAATACTTAATTAGGAAATTATTCTCTGCACCAAACTCATGTCACATGGATGCAGCTGACTTATGTCGACCACCAAAGGATAGTTGCGATCTTGGCAGATTCTCCTGTTTTCGTCGCGTTGATGACGGTCTCGAAAATCAGCAAGGGCGTATTGCGGTCGCAGCCCCGGTACGTCGAGGTCTCGCGACACCCTTCCCCGTGCTCCCAAAAATATACAGCCGTTATCTGTGATAGGCTTCTCTGCTCCGCCTTAACATCCTCATCAGCATGACGCTTCTATCTCGTGTACATTTTCTCCCATGAGCGGCAGTTTTTCTCCTTAAAATCCCCCAAATCGCCGACGGCTGCTAACTGTTGGTCTGCAATCATGTGAACGATCACTGTTTGAATTTCTCTACTGTATCGATGCATTTGTTAGTCACTTTGTCACAAATAGGAGCTCAAAGGAGTTTGCCTATCTTTTCCTTAAGTGA